AGGAATGTTTCAGTCCAACCTCCCCCACTCCCACCAGGGGATTTGCAGACAAAAGGGGTTTATTTGTATTTTTAGTTATTTTTTGTTCCCTTCCTCAGAAAATATTCAGATTTGGATGGGAAAACAAAACTGGAAAGGGTTCCCAACCCCTTTGCTTTTGCCCTTTGGAGAACTTCTTTCAGCACCTGCGTGGGATTGTCAGAAAAGAACTCGAGGAAAAGCAAGAGGGGGAAAAAAGAAAGAGCTGGGGAGGAGAAAAGCCCGTTTCCAACATACACAGCAGTTGGATGATCCTTGTGGGTCCTTTCCAACTCAGGATACTCTGTGATTCCATGTCCCTTACTCTTCCCATGAGGCCACTTCATCCCACTTCATCCTTCCCTGTAGCTGAGCACCTTGAACATGGAAGCTCCTGAGAAAAAATGTCAAATCCAAGGCAACAACAACGCTCTCTGAGAGCCCATTCCCCCTCCTCAGTGGGAAGAAGGAGATTTCCTACCCCCGTGTCCTGGAAAGCAGAGCCAGAGGTGCTGGAAAAGGCACTCAGCTCCCATTCCAAAACACACCAAGGGCTTCCAGTAGAAGCTTTGGAATTGCAACTGGGAAGGCCAAAATGAAAGAACTAAACAGATGAGTTGTTTTTAATCTGATGCTTTGGAAAATCCCTTCCAGAATGGGAATTACAGGCCAGGAGAGACCTGATTTCCCAACACTACTGCTGCCGTGACACATCCTCTGCCTGGTGGCTGGAGGTCTCTCAGGCAAGGAAAGTGGTTTATTCTGGGAATGTTCAGTGCCAGGCCCAAAAGGAACAGGACTCACCATGAACCCCTGCCATTGGAATGCATCCAAATTTTCTGCATCTTTCCAAATTTTCTGAATCCATCCATCCTCGCTGCACCTCAGGGTCCCAAACCAGTGTTTGTCTCCTGAAACACAGAGAGAGGAAACAGTGAAGATTTCACAGGAATCATGGAATGGTTTGGGCTGGAAGGGACCTTTAAGGATCATCCATTCCCACCCATCAAACAGTGAAGATTTCACAGGAATCATGGAATGATTTGGGCTGGAAGGGGCCTTCAAGGATCATCCATTCCCACCCACCAAGACATTCCAGGCAGTCCAGCCCCATGCCCAGGGGTGCAGCTCCCAGGGACTTGGGACTGCTGTCTCACTGAGGCCCAGTTTGGTGTCACCAGCAATGAGTAATGAGGCCAGAAAGCAGAGCTGATGCCCAAAGGCTCAGCAGGGCTGAAAGGCTCCTCTGCCCCCCCCCGGCAGCACCTGCACCTCCCCATTCCTTCAGAGGACATTCCTTTGGGAATGCCCCACCTGCTGCGTCCAGCCAGGAGCAGGCCCTGGGAGCTCCCTGGTGTTGGACATTTCTGGAGAGAGCACGTTGCAAAGGCGGGGGCTTCTGTCAGAAGGTAGAAACCTCCCTGACCTGAGCAGCAAGGACTAGGGGAAAATAGGAGCCTGCTCCATAATATGCTCCCATAAACAGGTGGATTAACCCAGCTCTCCAGGCTGTATCTGCCTTGCAAGTGCTTGACTTTCCCACCTTAACACTGGGCTCGTTTTCCTAAATTCCCTGGAAAGGCAGCCGGCTGTGCAGTAAGAGGAGCCCGGTGTTGAGTGAGTGCAGCACTTCCCGGCTGCCCCAGCGTTCCCGCTCAGGCACAAGGGGCTCTTTATGGAGCTCTCCGGGCACGCAGGACCTGCAGCAGCAGAGAAAAATAAACATCCTGCTCTTGGAAGTGCCTCCCGCAATTTCATTAAGCTCCCAAGGAGCCGGATGTGTATTTATTGAATTGAGCCTTCAGAGAAGCAAAAAGGGGGAAAAGAAGCCCCTGGGTAGTTCCAGGGAAGGGGGGATTTAAGGGAACTAAACAAAGCCAAGAACTACCTCCCCCCCCTACTCAAACCCCAGCGCTAAAAAAAAAAAAAGACCCTAAAAGCCGTGATTTCCCTGGACACGCCGCGGGTTTGGAACAATTACCCGGAGAAAGGTGTCTTTGGGAAGGAGGGACGCAGGAATGCCGAGCGGGTTTCCAGGCAGCGGCATTCCTGCCTGTTTTACAGCGGGCTCTGCGCTCCGAGGTGGGGTGTGAACATAAAACACTCGCCCAGTTGTTTTCCCGACTCCTGGCCCGGCTCCCACTGGCGGTGGCAGAGCTAATTAAGGAGTGACAATTAACTCTCCACTCCACACGTTCGACCACCTCCCTCTGCTCCTGGGGAAGGGGGTTCTGCTTCAAGGGATTTGGGAAAGATCATTTTTCTCTGCTTATTTTGCCTCTCTTGCTAAGTGGAAGAGGCTCCAGAGTTGTTTAAAATGGCTCAGATACCAAATATCAGCTCCCAGGCTTGTGGCTCCCTGAGGTCATGGCCTCCCCATCCCTGGAAGTGTCCAAGGACAGGGCTTGGAGCAACTTGGGACAGTGGGAGGTGTCCCTGCAAATGGGATGAGCTTTAAGGTCCCTTCCAATGCAAACAATTCCACGATTCTATGAAAAAACAACCCTGAGTGTTGTGGTGGTCCTTCTTCCAGCCCCTCCTACCAGTGATGCTTTAAACGAGTGACCCAAATTTCCTCTTTCCCCACTCAAAACTGGGTCATGGAGTGGGGATATGTCAGAAATGTCCTCCTGCTGTGCTTGAGAGACACAGCAGATAAAATCTGAGGGACAGAGAGATGTGCCCAGCACAGCAACAGAGCAATAAAACCCCATCAGAGGGCTTTTAATGCTGCTACGAAGGGGCAATTTTGGCTTTGAGAATCATGGAATGCTTTGGGTTGGAAGGGAATTTTTTGCTTTTAGCTTGTGGTCCTACTGGGAAAG